TGGTAATCCGCACGCTCTCTAAGTGACTAATTACTTGGCTTAATGACCACCAACTTTTTCTCCCTAATTACATAGCCTCCCTCAAGTACGTGATGCGGTGTCCAACACAAACGATCGAGAGAGAGCGAAGTACTGGGAAATGCGAGGCCTGCTAGACATTAAATCAAATTCTTTGAGTTCTGTCGGCCAAATGTTTGCACTTTGGAAGAAAAACAGACTACCAGATCAAGGAAACGCCGATATGGTTCCCAGCCTTGAGCCTTCTTGTTCTAAAATAACTGGAAAAAGTCGTCCTCGACCGCAAAATGCTTGCCTTTAAGCGTTTATACATAGATGAAAGTCTTCTATGATAGATTTGCACAGGCCAACAGCTATTTACTAACCACCTGACAACATCTTCCATGGCACTCGCTTCGCACGGAGGGAAACTGCAGCAACTAGCCCTTACTGACAGATGCTATGGCGAACTCTGAAACGCAGTGCACCGAAAAATGACTTACACAACACAGACCTTCAATTTCATCCTTTCAAATTTTAAAAACGCACTGATACGACCCGGCACAGTTAGTCCATGAAGTGTGGTATCTCTGAGTCCAGTTCGCAAGGAATGACTTTGTATGGAACCCCATCAACGCAGCGAACAAACAGGCGGGAGCCCTCACTTTGCTGAAGCTAATGCATGTATCGGAGGTGACAGATCTCTTAGCCGCAGAGTATAACTTGGGTACCTCCGACAATCACCGCGCATACAATCTCAATAGGAACGATTGACCAAGTGCGTGCATTTGTACGATTTGTTATAGTTGATCAGCTTTCATGCAAGTGGTGGATCTGCAGTCCTAGGTGTCGGAATGTGACTCTGTAAACCGACATATCGATTTGCCCTTAACATTTTGCGCATTACGCACAAACGGACGAATGGCGTAACTCAGTGCAAACAAAGAGTGAATGCAACCAACGAGAGGACGTTAACCACAAAGGAATATGAATTTGTTGCCGTTACTTTGCTTCTGCTTTTGATCCCCTGTACGAACCCGGGAGCGCAGACGAATAAAATTACCTGCATTTCATCTTTTGAATTAAAATACTGCCAAGGATACGAAAAGGCAAGTTCTATGGAGCAAGCTAGATCGAGACTTAAGGGCTGAAACACTGAGTTGCATTTTCCTATCGGTTCAGATTCTCACTCATAAGGTTGCAGTATTTATCAGATGTAGTTGTTGTACCAGCCCATGCCTATATAAATAAAAAAGTTCAGTCTTCATAACGGCTGTTAGTAGTCGATGCGATGACTGCTTGACCCATCGTGTCCGAGTCCCAAATTGCTGCAATATTATCGCCAGTTTAGGTTACGGGCGAGACGATATTCCGTAAAGCCATGTCACCGATAGTGTCATCAGAAGGAGTTATACCGCGCGATCTTAGTACGCTGTTCAGGCCATCATATCGCCTAGTACAGTAGTCGCCGGTTATTAAGTCCACCTCGGGCCCAGACCAAATTGGGCTTAATAAGTGGCTGGGCATATTAACCGTGGGCTTAATAGCCGGCGACTACGGTATGGACAATGGAAGTCATTGCGCTTGTTGGTTGACAGTGAGTCAAAGAACCGTGAATCGAGCGGCTGTCATTTCGCACGATAATTTCGACCAAATTGGACGTATCTATGCGTTTTGATAGGGTGGACTGAACCAGAACCTGTTGTTTGGTGTCGATTTTCCTTACGTTTTAGTCCATTACTTTCATTCGTATCTTTCTCTGTCAATGGGTTTCAGCCAAAATTCGTAGTTTCAGGTGGCTGAATACTTAGCCTTGCGACCAAATTTACTGCTTCTCTTACTTCACCTGTTGGATGAAGCAAATCTTAAACGGGTAGAGTGGCCTTTCATAGTCTTTGCTCGTAATTCTTACCTCTTGAAAAAGAGCGCAGGTTCTGACCTTTTTCGAGGCAATATAACCGCACTTTGGGGCTCATTCTTCCGGCGAGCTATGTACAAAATTGAGGGTTTGATCGCAAGTTTGACCTATTAAGGTGAATGTCACGAGTAGACAACGGTTTTGTAACTCTGTGGTTCTCTTCCCGTCGTACATGAAATGATGTCCTTTTCCAGTGAATGTGAACTACCTTTAGCCTAGTGACTTGACCGCGAAGCATCCAAAGCATCATCTTGTTTTGCCATTGCCCGCAGAAAATGAATAGAAAAGGGTAAAAGTCCATACGGTCTGCTTAACTCTGCCTACTAGCTGGAAGTATATTTGCATGCCATGACATAAAAAACAGTTTTGATAGGGAATACTAGCGCACGAAACGCTATGCCTCAGAAATGTCAGACACGAAGCAAACAAAAAAAACAGAGTCTGACTCTATTCTCATAGCGTATACTAAAAACGGAAAATGAATTATGTTGCTCGATCAAGCTTGCCCCCACTTTTCTTATGCTTTACCTGCCTTCAACATTGAAAACACACTCTAGTACTTTATCAATAGGGCCTTCCAAAGCGCCTGAAGGTTATTGGAAGTGGCGACCCCGAAGAATGTCGACGGCTGGTATCCTCCCTCTTCGACTTTACTACATGCGAGTATTCCTCCTGTTCCTTCAATGGTGTCTACCAGCCGCCGATTCGTGGAAATTTTTATGTGCGTTTTGTCAATATCTTTAAAATCCTGTATTTTAGGCATGACCGAGTACTTTTCTAGAAAGCAAACGTGGTTATGAGGCTTGAAGTTTGTGATTTTGCTTTATTAATAGCTACTGAGAACTCCCAAATATTATTTTTAATGACCAACCGGGAAAGTTGTTCATAGATTTTCGATTTATATCCGACTAAACATCCCCTAGCTGTCTTCTCTTTCTCATTTGTATACCGACGATGAATTTTCTGGCCTAATTAAATTGCAAAATCACGATTAAACAGCCCGGAAGTGAAAGAAACAGAAGGCTTAGAGTTAGTATGATGCAGACGGAAAGTTTCACTATGTG